GTGGCGGTAGGAAACCCTTGGCCCAGGGGTTGACACACACACACACACACACGCACGCACGCACGGACAGACTGACGGACAGACCGACTGACAGACCGACAGACGGACGGACAGACAGACAGACAGACAGAAAGCAGGCGTAGAAAGTGCATATTTGTGTGTTTTCAGCGATGTATGTGTATAGCAGAACAGGAACGCTGGCCCCATCCGGCCAAGAAAGACCTTCCACGGGACAAAGTGCATCTAGGTGCTATCCTCTTCATTCAATTAGTTGAGAATCATGTGGTGAGCGGGTGGAGTGTGCCCCTTTTGATTTCGGGATGGCAGAAAACAGATGGCCTACCCGGATGAGTCTCCTACTATGGGTCTGCTATTTTCTCGGTTTTGGTCATGTCCGTCATGGGGAGAAGCGTCATGGACCCGTGTCAGGCGGGATGGAGTTCGTGGCGGTGACCCGAAAGGGTGTGTTCCTGTGCGCTTGGGATCTGGCAGTGGATGGAGAGTGGGAGAGTGGTAATGGATTCGGGGTTGTGGAGGCTCTTTTGAGGGCTGAAGAGTTTCGGATTCCCAGCAAGACACAGAATTACCCGGTACCATTTGATTACCAATGGGAAGAGGCACAACTACTTCCTTCGAGTAAACACAGCCTGAAAAAACAGGCTACCAATTTACGCAACATTGTTCGATTTCTTGAACACACAATGCATATATACCCTCGGTACAAAAAGACCGGAGCTTCTTCTCCTGTCAACCTAGGATTTCACAGAAGCTTAGTCGGTGGCTTTCGCGCAAGGCCAAACTTTCAATACCAAGATCTGTTGTCGTTGAATAGCTTGTAATATATGCTAAGCAAGAAGGCCAAAAATGTCCAGCTAGCGTTCATCTCCCACGCACACTCTTAGGAAGTCTCTCTGTTGGCACTTTGTACAGTTCCTACATTTCATGTTTCTCGCTTTCAAACGGAAAGGCCGTGAGGAGCAAGACTGACGCTTCCAAGTGTGTAGGGCTGAAGAGTTTTCTTTTTTGGATTCTGTAGCCTCAGGTCTCGCAATCTCCACAGGGGTCAAGCAGAGCTGGTTTGAGATGCTTCATAACATGGAACCCTTTGTATTGTGGAATCATTTTGTGACCAGCATCCATTTGTAAACTTGGGTGTTCGCAGGTTATTATGGGGTTTTGATCCCCAGTCCTTTCCGTCCCTTAGTCTCGCCAGTCAAAAACGTGCTGGGCATCGTTTCCGCTTCTCATTCTGAACTTGGTCTTGACCTCTGGGCAGCTCGGGTCGGCTTGGGTCACTTGGTCATCGTCCCCGCAGCTGTTTTGACAAGCTGGGCCAGCAAAGACGCTGCCGTCATGGCTTGGCCAACGACCAGCAAGGCCTTGGGCTTTGCCAAGGGTTCGCCATTCTTTATGACCGCCAGAGAAGCTTGCTTTGAGGGGCCAGTTAACAGCTTTTTTAGAATTATGTTTTTTGGAAGATCTCGAGATGACTGATTTGTTGTACTATTCTTTGGTCCAACCGTTGGCCATGACATGGTCAGAGTCAAGGTCCCCGTGCCGGAGCTGCCTCCCCAAGCAGTGCCACAACAGCCAGTCGGGTTGCCGCAACAGCAGGGGCCACAGGATGTGTGGGAGATGAGGGTCATGCAGTCATGCACGAAGAGTGTTCTTGGCCAGTATTTAACCTCTTGTTTGGGTGAAGCATGTGAAGCTCAGCAAGTTCTGAGGGCAAGGAACTTCTCAGTCGGCAGGTTCTATGTATTTGTTTGGTCGACAGTTCGTTTGAAGTGCCTTCGTGTTGTCCTATACGGAGTGAAGAGATGCAGACGGCATGCATCTCATCATGTGGTAGCTTTGAGGTAAATGAATTGGACTTCGTTCAATCCAGTTCATTGCATCCACAATTGTGTCAATTTCACGGGAAGGGACCTGAGACCTGATGTCCTCTTTGAGGCCCTCAAGAGGGTCAAACAGCTGTGCCTCGACCATTTATACCAGGCGTTTCTCCGGCGCTTCCCCGTCTGAGGCCTGAGGAAACTCCATGGTCGAGGCCGACGAGACACGTTGGGGCCGTCGGCGAGACGGCGCCGGAATGAATGGCAAAGACATGTCTCCCACCAACATGGGCGGGCGTGGCTCTGATAGAAATCTTCTCACGTTCCGGAGGCTTGAGAGTTGCAGTCTCGTGTTATCTCTGTCCACGTGGCAACATCTCATCTCACAAGGGATTCACTATCGCATTATTCATTATTTTGCACCATGTGACTTTTTATGATCGGGCATTCATGGACGAATCCCCCACCGAAACAGGATCTACAGATCCTCTTGGAAAGCAATCTAATTAGCCGAACAAACATGTCTTCCCATCAGCCAAGTTTTTTGTTTCTGCCGTTTTTCAAATCCGTTTTTGGTCTTCCCATCAGCCAAGTGATGCAGGCTTTCACGGATGACCAGCATCTACCCACGTTGCACTGTCCCATGGCAGGTACCAACCCCACACAGCCGTTCCGCTGGCACAAGCGTCCACGCCCTCTTTCCGGCCGGGCAGGCGGGGGCGCTTTTGAAAGACACCAAGCGTCCACCCGTTTCTTGGGATTCGCCTTGTTCTCCATCCAGTGGGATTTGTTCTTCATCCCCGGCAGCGGATGGACTGTGGAAGACGAACACAAGAGAGACACGACGATGCTGGTGCCCCCGACCACTGTCTTTGTCCTGGGTTCCAGTTGGGACATGAGGAGCTGTCGGCTGCAGTTGCAGTCTTTTGGGACATGCTGCAGTTGCATTCCTCAAACCATCCCAATGCTTGGGTTTTGGACCTTCGAGGACTGTTGACATGGTAAGAAGGGTCCAGAAGGGTGCAGACAAGCGTTGTGTCACTGCTACGTTAACACAGCTTGGGTGGGAAAGAGGTGTTCTCCCAGCTTCTGGGAGTGAACACCGTGTTATCCCTCGTGCAAAATTTGCCAGCCATTTCTTTCTTGCACCATGTAGAGAAGAGAAGCACATGCTAAGTATTTAAGTACCTGAGCGTGCACGGAAGTATGGGGCTGTTGACGAATGCAGTGCGGGGGAGTAGATTTGCTACTAGGTAAGCGAGAGGTACAACACTCTGGAATCCAAGCAATTCTGTTTCAGAACTCAATGAATTCCTTCACTTCCGAAGGGAGGTCCATTCAGAAAGGACCATGGGCCCTGACCGTCGGCTCCAGGAAGTAGTGTACATGCTTTCCTTGACAAGACACTCATTCAGGTCCATGTCCATCTGCAGGAAGCAGTGAAATCTCGGACACCGCTGTCAGTACACTCCTGGACACAAGCAGTTACGCCAACGCCTCCGACTCCGCAACTTTTGGAAGACCGCTTGGCCAAGTCAGGCGGCATATGTAGGTTGAGTTCCGCCTGCATACGTAGGCATAGTAGTTGGGATATCCCTCGGCTTGTGCCACCTGACCTTGAAGATGTGGACATAGGTTCAACGATAAAAATGATGATCTGATGTGTGATCCACATGTCGTGGGCTTCCCCTGCCAATCCTTTTCTTGGGATGGACGCTGTTTGCCTTGGCATCGACGATGGTGGGAGCAATCTAATGTAGACTCTTGAATCTTGACTATCTTGACTATATATAATAGCGGTGATAATTATATATATGTATATATTTCAACCCCCTGTATGAAACGATCCATGTCTCGGGGCCTTTATTCATCAAGAGTCTGCATTACTACTAGGTTGGAGGCCATTGCTATTAGGTTGGAGGCCATCAGTATTCAGTTATATAAGTTTCCCTAAACATCTAGGAACCAAATGATTATATAGTTCGAGCGCTTCTTCAGGAGCTTCCTTGAAGAAGCGTGAGCTGTCCTGCGTCCTATTTAGCTATCTAGTGGCTACTAGCTCCCTCTCTAACTTGTTACTAGAAGCGATGCACTTGTTCCTAGTAGCTTCTTGTTACTACTAGTAAGGCACTTGTTACTAGTAGCGTGGCAGTTGTTCCTAATAGCTTTAGTAGCTACCTAGCGGCCTACCCCCCTCCGGACCAAGCGCCTGGGATGCCTGGGACGAAGCGCCTGACAGGTCGACGGACTTCGACACTCGAGGCGATGACAGCAGAAGT